GAGAGAGAGAGAGAGAGAGAGAGAGAGAGAGAGATTTAGGCTTGCGAGAACTAGCTTCTCGACTCTAGAGGCGGAAACCGCAAGCCTGTTCAAAGCTAGATTAAATATTATATTAAAGGGGTTGCCACGGGAGCGGTGGCTGCCTCGACGTTGGATCGTTCTCGTCGTTTTGCCCTGCTAACCTTCCCTCCCTCTCCGTCGCGTGTTCTCTCTACGTTTGCAGCCGGATTCGCGAATTTCTACATGAAACATCGCTGCTTACTGTTTCATCCCTTTCTCTCGCAGAAACTCACGTTTATGTTAAATCATAGTACTGCAGAGAATAAAGTAAGATTTCGTTGGAATCGATCGATTTATCAAAGGGAAACCTGTCTTTTCATGGTTTTTCGATTTTGTAAATGAATTTGGTACCAAATGACAAGTCCACGATCAGTAGACGCTCACCACGATGTATCGATTTTGGATGTTGTTTTAAAATTATTCCTGAGAGTTTTTCTGACGAATTTTAGATTAGTTGATAATTCCAAATAAAGTGTAATGTGTCTATATTACATGATTCTACCTACGTTATACGATTCTGCGACACGACTCGAACATTGTCTGCCATTGATGTCTCACCGCAAGCCATCGATTGAAGCCAAATTCAGTTTCATAAACGAGGCGATTTTTTTTTTTTTCAACGAATTGATTATTATCTCGCCGCGGAAGAAGAAATCGAAGAATCACGCAGGAAATATTCGAGGAAGGTAGAAAGAGATTGGATTTAATGAGTCGCCTTCGGATCCAAAAGCGATAACGCGGCGAAATTCCTCGATAAAGTATCAAGCACGCCGGGTATTTCCTTTATTAACTTTTTTCCCCACATCGGACATCGATAATTCGCGTCGGCGTTTTCTCGATCCATCGTCGCTCTCGCTCCTCCGACATCTTTGCCGCGAATTTCGTGACACACGCCGGTAACGTTCGATTAACGCTGTTCCGTGCACCGGACCAGCAGATTTTTTGGCGACTCGTGGCACGTTCTATTCTGATGATGGAAAGTTTCGCAATAAAAATGAATTTTTCGTGCATGTGCGTGTGCGTGTCTCTTTTTCTAAAGAGAAGAATAGATATTCTTGTAATTATAATTTTTAATTACACTTGCCATGCTTATTTCTAGAGTTTATAGATTTACAATAGATTTTTAATTTTTTAAGTGAATCGCGGAGAATTTAAGATGATTATCCTTTTGATAGAAGATTGTACTATTTTGCGAGCAACTAATAACTTGTTTTATGAACAATCATATATATGCTCACACAAGAATATTGAACAGTTCAGAATCAAATCGGAAAATTAATCGTGTTGTGGATAGATCTCAATATCTAGATCTTATGAAAGAACCATATCGCTTTACTTGCGTGAACATTCACGAAACAGTTAAAAATTATTAAATTCTTCGTATTACCTCTGAAATCGAAAATTCACCAGAAATTGTTGATTATAGTCTTTCGCGTATTCCGCAGGAATATTTCATACATTGAAAGATTTTAACGTTCTTAAATACTCGTTCGAATACTTGTAGTTCGATCCAGAAGAGAGGAATAACAGAAATAAATTTTTGTCAAATAAAATATTAATTAACTCGCAGCAGTGAACTTGTCCCTTGGAAACTGCTTATAATATCGAAGAATCGTCGCGTCGAAGAAACGTGTGAAAAACCGAGGACCAACGTTCGATCGAGGCTCGGGAATCGACCCGACTCCACCCGTCTCAATTTAATCTCAATTTGAAGAGAACCGAGGACAATAGACAGAATCGCCGCCAAAATCGAGACTGTGAAATTAGCCTGGCGTTAATCAAAGGTTTCTCCTTACGTCGCGATATCAGCCCCTGCCAAGGGGCGAAGCAGCTTCTCTGTGCCTCCCTCCCCGCGCGCCGACGTCGGGGAGTGAAAATTGAACGAACGACGTGAAAGCATGCTGGCTCGCGCTATTTAGGGTTAGCCTCTCGTCAACGACGGCCCAGTGGCGCTGGTCCGAGCTCTCGGTTATTTGAGTTGGCCGGTGGTACGCGCGCGGGGGATGACCAACCCTTTGATCTCGAACGCGCGCGCTTCTCCCTCCCTCCGTTTTCTGTCCGGCTGCCGCTGCTACACACACCCCTCGCTGCTCCCCGCAGCTTTCCGCCTTCGAGCCCCGTAACTCATTGGAAAATCTATCGGGGATGCTGCCTATATGCCGCAAAAATAAATCCAGCGCCCCCCGAGGGGGCGTAAAAGAAGCTTCGCCGATCCCCTTGGTAGGTACATTCCCTGGCAAAGTGATTCGATTCGAGTCGAATAGTCTCTCGTTCCACCAGTGCGATCTTTTTTTTTTTTTTTTTTTTTGGTATTTATCGACTGCCAACTCTTCGTCTGTTTATCGACGACTACGATATTTGTTATGGTTGTACCATAGTTGCGTCTTGTGTCGAATATTTTGCTCTTAAATGCAATTTAATTTGATCGTTGTAGCAAATTGGCAGGGAGAAGTTAATTTCGCTTCGCAACGTTTTGACAACGAACGAGATAACGAAGAATCGTTGAAGGAATATTAAATGAAGGAAAGTAGGAAGGATGAAGTATTCAAACAATGGTATCTATATATTCGATACAATTATTGGTTTGAAATTAGACAAGGCTGCAGAAGGTTTATGTTAGATTACTAGATTTATGAAATATATAAAAATCATTCAAAATTTAATAACTGAAAGTATTATTGAAGTAAAATATATTTTATTTGTTATCACGTTATCATTTCCTTCCTAGTATCCTAATTAACAGTTAAGAGAATGAATTGTTGAACAAATGTTGAAAGTTTTATCGACACTGGAACTACTAAAATGGTCAACCAATTTGTAATTTCGTTTTGAGAATTAAGCACTGTAAAATCATCCTCGCTACATCGATGTGATTCTGTGGCTTTTTGTTGCTTGAGTCACTGTCGAATGAGTTTGCTCTGGAAGGTATTTAAGCTTCGCTTCAATCGGCTTTGCGCTTCGCTTTTTCGTCGGCTTTTGCGTTATGTTTTCGATGGAAACGACACTTTGGACTAATTGGAGAAAGTGTTCGTTCATGACTTTTCGCTTTTACAGTTCTTCGTCTGCTGACTGCTTTCATTGTGTTTTTTCCCTGCTGTACTAAACGCCCTTCTCTTTGTTCAATTTCTATGTTCTATTGTTACAAGATGCTAAACTTTGTCACTTGCGATCGTGGACCTTAAAATTTGTAGTAATAAGTACTCAACGAAAATTCTTGATTAAATGCAAAGTATACTTTACAAAGGTAATGCTTTCTCATCGAATCATATTCATCAGTTTCAAATACACGCATTAATTCATTTTATTGCTCCACTCTTGATTTCTGAAAAGGAAATTTTGTAAAGTATAATTGCAGATATTTCACAGAGTACAATTTCTTGTTTCAAACTTGATCGATATAAACATGATAATCGTGTCTCATTGCAGTGTTAAGGAAATATCAAAATGTTTCATATCAAACAAATACTACGTATAGTCATAAAATTTTTTGTAATTTTATATATATTTATATTTCTTCAAAGATTACCCAGTACAGTCATAATAGTCGAGTCTCGCACCATTATAACGAAACAGTAAATTATTTAATTCTCGAAACTCTTATATCTATTTCTAAATTTGTTTGCAAGTCTGCCCGTATACAACTATAATAGTCATATTAAGAAAACGTCAAAATGTTTTATACGATATATTTATAAAAATTCTTGAAACTTTTCAACTTATTTCTTTAATTTGTTTCAAGCCCGATGATGATCAGGTTCCACTTCGCTTTTCGACGAATATATGTTTCCAAATAACACACGTTTCACGATATTATAATACTCATAAATAATTTCTGTAATATTTCTGTCATATTATCTCTTATATATCCAGTGTTGACGAAATATCAAAATGTGTTTCGCACAACGCGCTTTCGTGACCCCTGAGACGATCGACTAATACATCCTGTTGATCGTCGAGCGGGCTAAGTTTAACAAGAAAGTGGCAATTGCGAAACGATCAATGTCTCTTCAGACATGTCCCAGTTCGGTCTGTCTGCAAGCAATTCGTGGGGATACGGAAGCACGGCCGGCTACGCTGGTTACCTTCCTGGCCCTTTGTCGTCGTGTGCCGCACAAGCGTCCTTCCCGCCCCCGCCGCCGCCACCTCCGCCGCCGCCGCCGTCGTCCTCGTCGTTGGCATCTTTCGCGGGCGCCGCGTCCATGAACACGCCGACGGCGCCCGACTCGACGGCGGGATCCACTGTCACTTCCGGCACCGGTGCAGGATCCACCGCGCAGCAGGATGCCTTCTCAGCCGTCTCATCTCGTAAGTCGTTCACGCCTCTAACTTTCGTTTTTCCCTTCCTTCGTCAGATGCCAGCGATTCGTTTATTCCTTCGACGCGAATTTTTGTTTCATCGCCGGTACTGAAGCTTACTGCAGGGGGACCATAGTGGTTTAAAATTGAATCATTTAATCTTGGAATTTTCAATTTTTATTTCAATTTTGTTCAGATTCTTTCTTCAGAGAATTTTTGATCAGTTCAATCGCGGAGAATGTGAATGATCTTATTATTTATTATGATGGGCAGTGTTAGGTTCCAAAATTAAGTCGAACAGTTTGTTCAATCGTTTGAGGCATCGTTTAACTTTTAGTTGATAGCGTAGAATCACAGGGTGAAGATTTAAAGTTAAGTTCTTTAATTTTTGAATTTTCAGTTTCATTTAATTTTATTATTCATCTTCATCAGGCAGAATGTGGAGTACAATATAAAATTACGGACTATCTAAATTTTAATAATCTAACATAAATTTTATAAACGTCTATTATTTGAAGATACTGTCGGCACTTTTTTGACACTTAAAATTTCTCTTCTCTCTTCTCAATAATTTGGATAATTTTGTGTCAATAATAATTATCAAATACGTAAAAGTAGACAAACTGAATTATTACGAATCTTTTAGTTGTAAAGGAATAGTTAGTCCTTCTTATTTCTTTTTGAAAATCCTGGAAAATGCTTCTGTGATTAAAAAAATTAAATAAACGGTAATAGTATGGGAAGTTCCACAGACTATGATAATTCATTCGTTTTTTTCATTGAAATTATGATTTTCTAAAGTATTTTTTGAAATAAATTTCACAGCGATTTATAGTATATTCTAGTTGTACAGAGTTGGTAGATTTAGGTATTTCATTTACAGAGCCCAAACATACGTAAATCAAATGCACCCGTACTTCCTGTTAAACTATTGTATTAATAGATGATAGTCCAATGTTTATAACAAGTACTAGTGCATTTGTAATCGATATCGTAGCATTTCGTAATCAACGATGATCAATGAAATTAGTATCATCATACAATCCAACTCTAAACAGAATAGACGGAAATCGACGAAATTCGAAAATGCATCTTTGCAGTCTGAAAGTTGAAAATACATATTCTTTCCTTCATAATTATTAATATATGATATATATAATTTTTAATAAGTAGATTGCATTCTATAATTTACGTTATATTAATTTCTGAAAGTTTAAATATCACAGACGTATAAAACTCTATTTACTTTATTCATTTTTCCTAGGAAAAAAAAAAAAAAAAGAAACAACTATTTCAGAAAGTTCTGTTTTCCCCTGAGATCTGACTCACTGTTAACACCAATTTCAACGCACGATGAAAAATTAACATCTCGAAATAGTCGAACCTAAAACCAGTCCAATCATAGTGCGAGACACGGCCTTTAAAACGCATTTTGTTTCACGTCGATATCGTAAACGGTTGCCGAGATACAGGGCCCGAAATCCGCTTGGCCAACGTGTACACGGGGGGAGGATGAATGGGCCAGTCATCGCTGTGACCTACATCTTTTTCCTGGAAATGCGTACGCGCGATAGTAAATAGTAAAAAAACTGCTGACTCGGCGTCTGCACTGACCAGCGCACATGGCGCGGCCTCGCGGTAGGTCAGTGCACGCGGTGCGAGCGAGAGAGCCGAGCGCGCGACAAGAACAGACATAGCGAGATATTAAAAATTATCGTTCGCTTCCGACGACGATATCTCGGCAACCGGATGTCCGATCGGCACGAAACGAAAACTGTCTCACAGAGGAAGGTTCCGCCCGTACGACAGTGTCGATTTTGTCGGAGGATTTTCATCAAGTTCGTTATTATAACCGGTCACATTTTGAGGAATTTTAATACGTAGAGCAGATTTTTCGGGCATGTCTTGTATTTTATATATTTTAAGTATGTCGTGTGAGAAAATTTTTTTTTAATCTCGTTACAATGATAGATGTAGTTTCGAGTAATTTTGATTCGGCTTGAGGGGACTTTAGAAGGAATAATTTATTGTATTTTGCATTTTATAGTTACGGGAGAACGTTTTGGTCTTTTTAAAAAATTTTTGTTCATTTCGGTGATAATTTTGAATAATTTTAATATAGACTGTTGAGATGTTTAAGGGCTAATGGGGAGGAAGATATATTTGGTATCATTAGGTGTATTTTATATTTTTAATTAAGAACAATCACTTTAATGATAGAACATTACGATTGGTACAACAATTATTTTCTTAGAAGAACTTACACCTGTAAACTGTTAATCTTTTAATCTATTAATCTTACAGAAGTTATTTCTTTTAATTAACATTGTTTCATTATGTCTACTTCCCATATCTAAACTATTCTTTAACTTTACACCAAGTGCTCCGATTATTTCAAAATTCCTAGACAACTAGCCTCATTAAAATTCCACTTTCACCATATGAAATTACAATTTTCTCTTTCCAAACCCTAAAATCTCACATTTAGTCTATCCTTTAATCACTACTAAACCTTTCAAAATTCCAGTTCCGCGGTTGTACCAGAGAAACTTGGAACTCTGGTATAAAGCACAAGTCCCTAAAACTCCAAATAATCTAGTTCTCCCTCAGTCGAAAGAATTGAACTATCTATCCTTTAATCACTGCTAAACCTTCCAATTATTTCTAAAAATTCCATTTCCACAATTGTACTAGAGAAATTTTAGTGTAAAGCACAAGTCTCTGAAACTCCAAATATAGTTCTCCCTCAGTCGAAAGAATTGAACTATCTATCCTTTAATCACTGCTAAAACTTTGTCAAATTTCCAAAATTCCAGTTCCGCTGTTTGTACCAGAGGAACTTGGAACACTAGTATAAAGCACAAGTCCCTCAAACTCCAAATAATATAATTGTCCCGAAAGAATTAAACACGACAGAAGACGATTTCTCTTTTCCATCGAAAAAAAAAAAAAAAAAAAAAAAAAAAAACAAAACAGTGGTGCCGGACTCGACGACGCCTGGGCAATCGGACCCGCTGGACCCCCTGAGCAGCCTAATGTCGACGACACCGAGCCAAAGGTACCAGGACTACGTCTCTCCCAGGTCCCTGTCCACCGACTCGAGCACCACGGAGAGCCCCGTGCACGAGGAGCAAGGATTCGGTCAAAATTACGGCAACTACTTCCCAACGCCCGGCGTGCTGCCCAGCATCCTCTATTCCCAGCTGTACGGGAATCAATTTCAAAATTCGGAGAGCCCCGAGCAGAGAGCAGTGGCTGACAGCTGCAACGTGAGACAAGAGGAAGTCAGGCCGGACAACAACGTCTGGAGGCCTTACTGAGAGCCGGACGGTGACACGTTCTCGCGATTCTGATGATTTTTAGGACATTTCCCTCCGTCCGCGTTACTCCTCGCGCGGACGTGTAACATTCAGATATGAGCAAACTGTGATCGGTGGATGAGAAGATGGACGAAATGTTGGCTCGAACAGGCGAACGAAAAAACTAGCTATTAGTGGGCATTAAAAATGAGAAGAAGAAGAAGGAGAGAAAAAAAAAAGAACAATCCGGTGCGTGTTCGAGATGACAAAACGAGGGTTCGGGCTTGAATCGGACGGCTCGGTTTCGGATCACATCGACGCGATCACGAGACATCGATGGTTGTAATAACTCGTAGGTGGCTGTGAACTAATATTTTACCTGTTTGCCTGTGGTTGAACGTGGCCACGTTCTCGAATGCGATTTGTACGATTTTTGATTCGTATAAAAATTATGAGAATGTATATATTGGCTTTTGGATTTTTAGTACATTAGGAAAAATTAAATGTTGAATTTAGAAGACATTTTTAGAAATATTGGAAAGAAAGAAATTTCTTGAAATTTTGATTTAAATTGTCGCTTGAAGAATTCACTACTCGATGAGTGTGGCTCAAAGTTTTTAATGAAAGTTCAAAAGAGTATTCACTATATCGTTCTGTAATAACTTCTTTCATTGTGATCTTTTAACATTACTATTTCAATTTTTAATTTCAAATGAATTTTAAATCCCTATAACGTTGAATATACTGCTTTATTTTTAGTTTCGAATAAGTCTTAATCAGACAATACAAGATGCCAATTATGCTTCCGGTAGGTAAAGTATTATTATAGAAACGCATGGTAATATTCATACTAATCACTAACTGAAGTCTCATTCACGAAACAGTCACTGTCAGTGGTCAAGTACAACACAAGCACAATGCGACATACGATATACAAACTATTCGTCAGCAGCTTAAATCACGAATTAATTTTAATGAATATTTTTTATCCAACAAATTTCGATATGAATTTTCAATAACTACCAAAAAATAAAATTCGTGAACAATTAATTCCATCCACAGTGGAATCATAATTTCGTGATCGCGACGTGATTCCAAAACGATCCGTCTGATTTAGATCTCACCAGTAATTGTCAAGAGAAAATTTTCTTTCTTTTTCGATTCTTCGATTTCGCATTCTTCTTCGTTTTTTTTCCTCTCTCTTCCTTTAGCTGGTTGTCTGTCTTCGACGAAACGGAGAGAAAAAAAATACGTGCAAAGAGGGGCTGATTTGTAATTTACCGAGTGTGTGGTGAGTGAACGTGCTACTGCTGGCCCCCGGTGATGGTGACGATGATGATGATGTATATAGAAACACTGTACATAGATAGAGCATTGTCGTTTCATCGAGTCATTCATCACTGTCGACGGACTACGCGACGTGTGACGACTTGTACCGGGTGTCTCCCGGATGTTTGGTCGAGCTCCGGATTATCCTGTACTTTCTCTGCTTGTCTCGCGGATGAGAAATTGGATGTCTCGTCTGTGATTTTGGAAATATTTTCTGTTTCCGCTGAATTTTTGATGTGTGATTCGCATGACAAAGGATACATTTTTTTTTCTTTTCCTTTTTTTAGAGGGAGGGTTTTATATCACAATATTTCTAATTAATAGAATATGTGTAAAATCGTATCTATGAATTTAGAATTGAATAATTTCTGAAATTTTAGAATCGATAAAATTACAAATTTCTTTGTGATACCAAATATAATATATCTTTTTCCTTCTTTCTAAATTTTTTCCGAGAAACCTCTTCTTTTAGTGAACACTTTTTACATCAAATAAAATTATAAAATTAATTAAAGTAATGTTTACAAGTTCAAAAAAAAAGTTGCGGTCTAACAATCTAACATTCTATGTTGCAAAAAAAAAAACAAGTTTTTCAACCTCTTGAACCATTTTCAAAAAATTTTTAAAGGAGAGAAGAACTTCTTTAATCCTTCCTCATTTTTCAAACATTTTATGTTACCGTGAAAGAGAATAAATTTTATGATTGAGTGTTACAGTGTTCGACCAAGGTCGAATCTCTCAGTGTTCAAAGATTAAACTATCTCCTCTCATTCACAAGACAGGCAGATTTTCCGGAACTCGACCAATTATCAAACACACCCACTGTAACTTTTATTCCATTCGATTACGTTTTCATAGTATAACGCGATTTGATCGATTTGACTGCGGGCTCGTGTGCAATACGTCGTCGATTCGCGATTCTCTCGCAGTAACCTCCGTCGCGGGGACATCGAACGAGAATCGAGCATCGGCCGAGTCGAGACGATTAGAATAAATCGATTCGTATCTTGTAAGACGAAGGGGAAAGATCCTCTCGCGATTCAACGAAAAGAAAATAAGAAAAGGAAACAAAACGCTCCGTAGCTTTCACATCGAAATTCCCCCACCCACGAAATGAAACGAAACGAAAACAAAAAAAAAAAAGAAAGAAAGAAAGAAAAGGAAAGGAAAGCTCGCGTTATAATGTTTGAATAACGCGACTAATCGATTGAACGTCGATAACGATTTATTCCTTTTTTTTCTGACAAAAAGAAGAGAAAAAACCGACGACGTCTACATTCTGCCCCACTCCCTCTCAGAAGAACGATGATTTCAGATATACATATCTACCAACCTATTGTTATCGTAGTTTTTGACCGAGTCGAAATAAAAGTGTATTTCAAAATACCAGAGAGTGTCATGAGTGTCTCTGCCGGTCCATTTTTATTGGTTCTTTATTCGGATTTTGATGTAATTTTTTTTTAAGAAACTTTCTTCAGCGTAGTAATTCTATTTTTTATTTTTTATTTTATTTTAGACATTTGAAGATTTTTCCGGATATTCTTTAAGAGGTA